ATTTCCCCACATGCTTTTTTTCTTAAATCAGAGAAAATAGAAAACATGCAAATCTAAGACCTTCAATCCAAGACAAGATGCTTTATTTTTTTCCTTCCAGCTGTTATATTTAAAGTAGAAAAAATACATCAACTCTATTTAGATAGATCGCCCATAGTGCTTCAGAAAATGGAGTGTTTGGGGTAATCTGACAATTCATTGCTTAGGAATCTGTGAAAAAAATACTCACTAAATCGATCATCAAAGTCGTCTGTTTTCTGTGTTGTGGTTTACGAGTGAAAAACAGATATTGGGGTTTGTAATTCACTTTTGGAGAGAGGAAAGGGTAGAAACAAATGTTTCCATAATTCTCTAGAAGTAATCAGAAGACCATAAAAAGTCTTTTGGTCACCTCCTAATGTATTTCCTTTTCTCTAATGACATATGCTCAGTATTTTTGTCCCCTAGCATTGAAGACTTGTCCTCTATTTCCAAAAAGGCAGTGGGAGGTACCACGGGCATTCTAAAATTTTTGAGTCCATTTCTAATTCTGATAGCAGGAAGCTATAGCATCCTAATAGTTTTCTGAACCATCTGTAAACTGAACATGAAAACAGACACATATGTACACGCACTTTCCTGGGAATAACCCTAAGCTACAGCATGCTAATGAGCCAATTCAAGTTAAGAAGAAAGTGCCAGATCTTAATATGAGATAGGTCCTGAATCAGAAAAGGAAAGGAGTGACATAACTGTTCTCCTGAGCAGAGACCCTATTTTTAATGACTAGCAACTCCTCACTAAAGAAAAAGTTCTGGGATCCTCCCAGGATGGAAGAAGCATGCTGAAAGTAGACTATAGACCAAACATGATTTCCACTCAATGCCTCTTTTGCAAACCACAACACCCAAAAGGAGAGAGAGAACAGAGGGGAATGCCCTGCCACAGAGGCAGGGTGGGATGGCGGGGGGATGGGGAGTGGGAGGGATACTGGAATCCGTGGTGGTGGGAAATGGGCACTGGTGGAGGGATGGGTATTTGATCATTGTATAATTGAAACCCAAGCACAAAAATTTGCAAGTCTACAACCGTACCTCATGGTGTCTCACTAATAAAAATTTAAAAATAAATAAATAAAATAAAATAAAATTTATGATATATAAAAAATACCTCATGGTGTCTCACTAATAAAAAAATAAATAAATAAAAGAAAAAAGAAAAAGTTCTGGGGCTGGAGAGTACCCAGTAGTGCTGGTAGGGTGCTTGCCTTGCTCTTGGCCAACCTTGGTTTGATCCTTGGTATCCCATATGGCTCCCCACACACTGCCACGAGTTATTCCTGAGTGAAGAGCCTGAAGTAGGTCCCGAGTGCCTATGGAGTTGTCATTCACTTTAGGAGAGAGAAAAAATATGGGTATGACCCAAAAACCAAAGAGAGAGAGAGATAAAAGAAGAAGAAGAAGAAGAAGAAGAAGAAGAAGAAGAAGAAGAAGAAGAAGAAGAAGAAGAAGAAGAAGAAGAAGAAAAAGCAAAGAAAAGCAAGGAGTGAGGAAAAAGAGAAAAGGGGGGGAAGAAAAGAAAATATAAGGAAATACAAGAAAAGAAAAAAGAAACAGGCCTAGTGCACTCTAGAAACTGTTCATAAAACATTAAAAGTGATGATGCCTGAGGTCCATCAGCATACACCTCAGCCTGTAAAACTGGAAGGATGGTGTAGATATGGTATAAATTCCAGGAGGAAACAATTTTGAGTGGGAAAGGGCTAATGCCCACCGCTCTCCAGCACCAGAGCACAGTATTGCCTTCAGTGTCTCTGCCTGACATATTTTCTCTTCTGCATGCTCCAGCTAAGTTTTATTGTGCTCATCTATTAATATCTTCAGAGATCTGAGAGTTTCCCCTATAGACATTGACTTCTTATAGAGAAACAGGGTGACAAGGTCTAATCGCTTTTCAAAAGATCAAATCTGCTCTTCCCTACAGGGGTCATAGAGAAGCAAGAATGCCCTCTTTCACAGAAGGAGGGTGCAGGGCAGATGGAGGGCCAGGCAGCTCGGAAGCACCAGGAGTGGCAGATGAATCATCTTGGGGGCAGGATCCTGTTTCTCAGCCCTTTAACTCTCCCACAATAATCCCTCTCAATAATGCAGTTCTCGACACTCCCTTGCCCAATCTTCAGAGAGAATTTCACACTGAAACAAACTCCTTTTAGAAAGCAAATATCTTTTATGAACTATTTACTGGAATACATAATGAAGTAAACATTTCACTTCCTCTCTTAATTTCTGAAGTATACGTTCAAGTCCTCTACTTTCCTACAGAAAATTCATGATTGTGTGATGTTTGTCTCTTTCACTATCTAGGTTTCCTTATACCCAGTGCCCAGTAATAAAACAATAATTACAACAGACTGCCCTGAAGGGATAGCAGTGACCACTGACATGTAAGCAAAGGGAGAAAAGTGGTACAAATAAACACACCAAAGGGTCAGAAAGCAGACAGAAATGTGCATGCTCACACTGTTATGCCTGGGAAAGAAGATCAAGATGGAAAACTATTGTGCCTTAGTTACAAACATGGAAGTTATGTTTCACTTACAAAGTATCCCAGTACAGAGTAAGGTTAAGTGTCCTTACAGACTGTTCAGAGATTACTTACAGAGTATCCCAGCTGAATCCTTCCCTCTTCCCCAAATACAGTGGCAGGCTTTGTCCCCTACCAAGTATGTTGGATTCCAAAGAACTCATTCAGTCAGAATTCAGCAGCTGGAAGAGATGCTATCAACCAAATAAACCTTGGAGGTGAATTTGAGAAACATCCCATATTTAAATAGTGGTTTAAAGACTAAAATTTATCACCATTTCCCTGGTTACCTCTCATCACCAACCCAGGAGAGCATCTGTCCCAAGAGCATCACCATTGCATTATATACCGCTATGAATACAAGACACTAGAGCTTGGGATTGAGGAAGGCAGGGTATCAGTGTGGTAAGGAGAAAAGGAAACTCAAAGACAGTAACATGTCTAGGGTCTAGGGTCAAAGGTCAGTGGAATCTGATTGCCAATGCCAGCATTCAGAAATCCTCAGTATCTTCTTAAATCTTAAATGAACTCAGTAGAAAGTAGAAACAACAGAGCAGGTGCAACACTGCCTAGTGTGCAGCGAATGATGACACAGAGAAGAGAGAAACTCAGATAAAGGTATATGAGAATCACTGAGAAGAAGGCCACAGCCAGAGCTAATCTGAGGAGAGGCAAGGACCACAAGAAAAGGTGAAAGAAGACATCCTTTCAGGGCAGATACAGATTGAGGTGATGATGATAAGGACCTTATCACCTTATGCTTCTCCTTCTGAAAGGAGCTTTTCCATGGGCAATTTCTTCTCTATTTCACATGGTGAGTCCAAGACAAGATCCAAGACGGGATCCAAAGGAGAGTCTTCCTGTTTTGCTCTCCATCTTTTTACCCTTCTCCCCACTCCAGCTCTCTGTATTTGAGTCAGGACTGATTACAGACCATCTATCACAACTACTCTGTCAGTTCCCAGAACCAGTCCAGGTACATGGCTACATGATTCACTTTCTGAGGGATCAGATATGGGTGGAATGAAGGGCAGTGTCATCTTAGGCTGATAAATAAAGAATATAAACCAATATCCTTTTGGAAGCACCCAAATTCAATACCTCTGTTTGTCAGTACCAAGGTAATCATGCTTTGTGGCAGGCCCAGAAATGCCTGCTTTTCTCACTGGTCCAGGGTAGGGACCCTACTGAGTAAATTTTGAAGTAGGAATGATGAAGGAATAGTCCTGGTTACTAGGGCAATGCTCAAATCAGTAAAGAGATGTAGGTGTTCCCTAGGGCAGTGTTTGTTCCCTGAAAGACTTGGTGGAATCACTTCCAGCCTTTCATTATTGGGAAGGGAGTAGGGAAAAGTGACATCTATCCCCAAATTACATAGTTCCTAGAATTACAAAGAGAAGACAGCTTCCTGGGCTCTGACTTCCCAGAGGGCTTACTGGGAGCTAGGTTAGAAAGGTGAGAGGAAGACAACATGAAACCATGGCCCTCCCTATACCTTAAGTTCTTGGCATGAAGTGAATCCTCTCTGTGTCCCTAAGGAAAACAGTTAAAGGTGTACGCCAGGTATAGCAAAGGGAGCATGCTAACTTAGAGTTCTGCTTACAGCTTTTTGTGTTTTGTTTGTTTGTTTTTGTTTGGGGGCCATACCCAGTGCTGTATGGGGCATGCTCCTCGCTTTGTGCTCAGGGATCATTTCTGGAGGACTCTGGGGACCATATGGGTGACAGTGACAGGGACTGAGCACTGGTCAGCGATCTGCAAGACAAATGCATTCCTATCCACTGCATATCACTCTGGCCCCTGCCTGCAGCTTTAAAAGTGAAGTCTTCAGTTCCCCTGGCAGCAGGAAAAATAAAAACATCCTACTCCTCAGGGTGTGATGAAGAGTCGGTCTGCCCTCGGTCAATGTAAAGCAAATATATCGTCATTATCCCCCCCCCCCCGCAAAACACACACACACACACACACACACACACACACACACACACCCTTACCCTACCTCTAACAAATGCAAACCTCCACAAAATCAGTTTGCACTCTTTTTCCAGTATTGGACAATTTCCAATATTAAAGACACCTCTCTGGTTTGACTCGGAAACCAATTGCAGTAAGAGCCTTCACCAAAGTGCCTAACTGCCAAGGAAACACTCCTGAATGCCAATGCGAAATCACAGAATTGGCAAAACTGCTTTGCTCAAACTTCATGTCCTTATCTTGTCTTATAAATCGCTCTACCTCGAAGGCATGCATTCCCTCCTGGAGCTGAACACACCACACGGGGAAGAGGAAAGGAGCCGGCTCAGCTTGATGGCATGTGTAAAAGTAGAGAGTAGGGGAGCTGGGGTGGAAACGCCAAGAATGAAGAGGACAGGGAGCACGTTGAGAGGGCTCCATCCCGGGGGGGGGGGGGGGGGGAGGCAGGCAGCGCGGGCCCTCACCTGTGGATGTTCATCTCTCGCGGCGGGCGGTGGGCCTTGTCATAGGAGACCTTGGCGAAGACTCCAGCCACGATGACAAAAGCGATGACCCCGCAGGTGATGTAGACGGTGAAGTTGGTCTTGTCTTTCTCCGGGTCGTACTTGTTCTCGGGTCCCGGCGACACCAGCTTGGTGCTGGGCGTCTGCACCCACACGGGGCTCTGGTAGTTGGTGCACTGCCTCTGGTCCAGCTTCTCGTGGCGCTTCTTGCAGCAGAAGCGGTAGTAGCAGGTGCCGCAGCAGTAGAGGTAGCCGCTCTCGCTGTTGTTGCACTCGAACTCCTTGTCGTACTGGCCGCTCACGTCGTAGTAGCCCCAGCACGTCTCGTAGGTGACCGCGGCGGCCGGCTGCCCGCGGCGGCTCCCGGCCTCTGCCGTGGCGTTGAGCTCGCGGCCGCCCCGGGACGGGGCTCCCCCGGGGCGCCGGCCCCCGACGGCGGCGGCGCTGGCCGTGCGGTTGCCCGCGCGGCTGCGGGCGCCCTGGGCGCGGGGCAGCGAGTCCAGCGGGTCCAGCGCGAGCAGCAGCAGCAGCAGGAGGCGGCGCGCCATGGCGGGGCGGGGGGCGCTCAGCGGCTCGGGGCCATCGGGGCGCGGGGGCGCGGGGCGCACGGGACGGAGGGGGCGCTGGGGGCGCGGAGCGCGGCGCACGGGCCGGGGGCGCGGGGCGCTCGGAGCGGGGCGCGGGGCGCGGGGCACGCCGGCCGGCCGGGGATGCTCGGAAAGGGGCGCGGGGCACGCCGGCCGGGAATGGTCGCAGAGGGGCGCGCGGAGGAGGGATGCCCGGAGCGGGGTGCCCGGGCCGGGGGCGCGCGGCTCTGGACTCACGCCGCGCTCTGGCCGCGGCTGCCTCGCGCCGGCCCCATCCCCCGCCGGGTGGCGGCTGCGGGTCCGGGGCTGGGCGGCGGGCGCGGGGCGCGAGCCGGGGCCCTGGAGCGCAAGCACCGGCCCGCCGCAGCCCGGCCCCCCGGGTGCCCGCCCGCCCGTCCTCCTGCGCTCACCGCTGCACAGGACGCCGCCGCCGGCGCGAAGCTCGGGAGACGCTGGCACCGCCGCCGGGGAGCGCCGGTAGGGCACCGGCTGGGCACCGGCTGGCACCCGCCTCGGGCCGCCCACGCGCGCACGCCGCACGGGGGGAGTGGCGGGGAGGCGGCCCCGCGCCACCGGGAGCGCCGTCACCGGGCGCAGGACGGCGGTCACAGCCACGCGGCGCGCCGAAGAGCGCACACCCGTCCCGGCCGGCCCGCCCGACCCCAGCCCGGCCGCGCGCGGCCACAGCACCTGCTGGCGGTTCGCGGAGCCTCTGCCTCTCCCTAGCGGCGACGCGCACGCAGAGAGGAGAGCCAGCCCATTGCTAGAGTTCCCAAAACTGAGACCCGCGTCCAGGAGCAGCCCTGACTGATGGTGGCTCAGCCAAGGTCACCACATGGACCGACTTCCTCATCCCCGTAAGTGCGCTCCTCGCCACTCTGTCCCAGCGTCGCACTGGCGACCCCCGGCGCTGTAAGGCACCTGTTAACGGTTCCAGCCTCTGAGATTCATTTGTGAAATGATCGATTCATCTGCAGTAGGTGGCAGAAAGGAGCAGTCCTGTGGAATTGCTGGTGTGAAAAGGAACCCCACTAACTTTAAAAGTCATGCGGTTACTCCAAGGGGAAATTGGTTTGGCGTGAATCTGTTCAAAGGGTACGGAACGCTAGGAAGAAAGCTCTGAACATAGCCCAAACCCTGCACTATGTACTTAGCCACATAGGTTGCAGGTCAAGGACAGCTTGTCAAAGAGTAGACTCCTGTCCCAAGGCTACCAATACAATCCCAATCATGGTGAACCCAAACAGGATTCCCTGTTTTGGAAAAGGGGGGAAAAAAAGCCTTCTTAGCACCTCCAAAGGTAAGATGAAGCTAGAACTTCGATTTCAAGGCACAAGAGGGAGATCTCAACCCTATCTATATACAGGGTGCACAAACCCCTTCGCTACTATCCACTTGCTATTTTCTCCTCCCTCCTTAGTTCCCGTCTTCATCTTCCTCGTTTCCTTAACTACTCAGCTGTCATTCTCAATGCTTAAGGCCAACAAACATTTTTTTTGAATACCTAACTTTCCACAAGACATAATGATAAATGTGGACGGAATAGATGAGCTAAATCATTTTTTTTCTGAAGGAGAGGAAGTTTGTAAACTCTGGGGGAGCTACAAACAAATGATTTCCAAGTACGTCCCTCTTTACATAGGGAGACATAGAGTACTCTGAGAACAGATTGCAGCACTCAGCATAAGCCTGTAGGGAAAAGACTAAAATTGAAGAGAATTTACTCCTTCCTTAACAAACAGAATCTAGAGGAGTGGTTAAGATTTATGCAGGTAAGAAGAGAGAAAGAGCAATCCCATAAGAAGGAACATCATTAGCAAAATCAGGATATAAAGTAAAGTGTGTGGGAGCAGGGGATATTCAAAGATTAGCATAAACCTTCAGGGAATCTTCCAAATAACGCTGGCAGAAGGGTATTATATCCCTTGCCAAAGAACTTTAATTTATTCTACAACTGATGACGAACTATTGGTGGATTTTCATCAGAGAGAAAACTCATATTTTGCGTTTTTGTTGGCTCTTCTGGAGTATGGAATTATGGATAGAAGAAGAGCATTATGGAAATTATTGAAGGAACATAAAAAGGGAATGAAGTAGATTGCTGGTAATTGGTACTCATGGATCAGAGGTGACAACCATGGTTAAAGGAGCAAGTCTGAACCATGGAGATGGCTCCAGGGGTTAGAACACATTATTCATGTGTGAGTCTTGGACTTTATTCCTTGCAGAACTTGTGGCCAGAGTGGCCCCCAAAAGCAAAAAAAAAAAAATACAGAAGTAGGTGATTTAATAACTTTCCATAATATGACGACAGAAAAATTATATGGCTAAAAATATAAAATTGGGCATTATTTTAATGATCTTTCATTCTTCCCACCATTCTTTCAGCTTGATACCTTTTCAGGGATTTTTATTGACAACATGTATAATTATCCCAAAATTATTTTTAACACATTTAGTTTCAGAATATGATATACTATCTTAAAAGGTAATCATGATAAGAGGTAAAACTTGGCAAAAATAGTAATTTGATTTTATTTCTCTTCTGGGAAGTGTTATAGTACTCGAGCGGGCCCAGTAACGTCTCCATTGGAGACTTTGTTGTTACTGTGTTTGGCATATCGAATACTTCACAGGGAACTTGCCAGACTCTGCCATGTGGGCGAGATACTCTCGGTAGCTTGCCGAGCTCTCTGAGAGGGGCGGAGGAATCGAACTCAGGTCGGCCATGTTGGCTGCGTGCAAGGCAAACGCCCCACTGCTGTGCTATCCTCTCAGAGAACCCGGCAAGCTACTGAGAGTATCTTGCCCTCACGGCAGAGCCTGGTAAGCCCCCCGTGACGTATTCGATATGCCAAACACAGTAACAACAAAGTCTCCAATGGAGACGTTACTGGGCCCGCTCAAGTTATAGTACTATCCCAGAATTAATTTTTTCTTGCTTTATCATTTCAGAGATACACTGTAGGAATTATAACATAGATATTACAATGTAGATTATGGTATAGGGCCGTGATTTTTAACCTAGAATACTAAAACCTCCTAGAATTATATCAAAAGTGTGTGTTTGTGCAAGCACTCTATTTTTACAAGATATTTCTGTTCATAATCTCCTGGGGGTGAAAGTTTCCTTGCTGTAAAGAATATAAGGAACATCTGAGCTTTGTTGTGTGAGAATCAATAAGATTATGAATTTTACTGTATTTTAGAAATTTAAAAGTTCAATAAGTGTTGATTTGGTATTATTCTGCCAAATCTCTCAGTGATGCAAAAAAACATAAGGGCTGGATCAAAAGTCAAAGCATAGCAGTGTGGCAGCAGCAGACGTGATGTTTTTGAGAATAGCTCATGGCTCATGTCCTTTCTGATATTTAAGTCTTACCAGATTTCTCAGTGATTATGTGTACAGATGTAAAGAGAACATGGAGTTATCCAGGTCATTTTTATCACTTATCTGCAGATGCAGGCAAATGTAATCTGATTTCTTGCTTCACTGTTTCTGTCTGGACTCGACTTTCCCTGTTGGTGTATAAAAACTACTGAGGATGAAGTCCTCCTGTGGTCAGACTCCTCCCTTGAAGAACAACTATTCTGAGAGGCTTCCGAAATTAGCTCTGTGTGGCACTGCCTCTGTCGCCCTCTCCAGCAATAGCTGGTTAAGAGTAAAAGATAAAATGTTTCAACTTTTTTCCGCAGATGGATGAAGGCTTTGACCTAAGTGGAACCCCACTGACTCTGGAATTTGAGACAACTGTGACTGAACTAGCAAATTTAACAATGATCCAAATCCATGGAGAACAGAGAGGGATGGCAGAGTTGGGCAGAGGTTATAGTTTATTACCAAGAGAGTAGCACCTTTTAATTGGTTAGCACAACAAAAAAGAGGTGTCAATCTTAGCTTGCTTTTGATTTGCTCATGTATCAAATGAGTTTGAGGAAAAAAATATCCTTTCCTCACTTAATTTAGAAGTTGTGATTTTGATTAGAAAACAAATAACCACAAAGAAAAATAATTGAGAAATATAGTGTGAAGCAGGATGAGACTTTTGAGTGATAAGAACTGAATTTATTAGAAACTCTTCTTATATGAATGCTTAATAAAATGAAAATAATTATATGGATTCAATATTACAATGAGAACTTTAATCTTAGTTTGACTTTCAAAAAAGAAAATAATTTTATCAAATTCAATGTCAGAAACATTGGTTTATGAGGTTGCTTAGTTTAGAATAATATGTCTATCTGGATCCTTCCTTAAATTAGTTTCTTTTACTCTATGGTTCATTCAACTCTCTCAACAAATAGATTGGATTACTGAAAATAGTGCTTCCAAATAAATCTATCTGAAGATGTAGGTAATTTGAACTGCATGGATTTAAAAGACATAGCTTTATTGTTTTAGATTTTTTTAAATAATCGATTCACCATGAAATATCAGGTACTGTGTGCCAATACCATCAATGCTAGTCTTTTTTTTTTTTTTGCTTTTGCTTTTTGGGTCACACCCGGTGATGCACCGGGCTTACTTCTGGCTTTGCACTCAGAAATTACTCCTGGCGGTGCTCAGGGGACCATATGGGACGCTGGGAATTGAACCCCGGGCTGGCCGCGTACAAAGCAAACGCCCTACTTGCTGTACTATTGCTCCAGCCCCACCATTACTAGTCTTTATGTCCCTGCACACTACACAATAGTCCAGCCTCTATGGCTGAAAGAGGGGCACACCGAGTTGTGCTTAGGACTGACTCCTGGCTCTGTGCTCAGGGATCACTGCAGGTGGTGTCAGGGATCAAAGCAGGGTCGGCAGCCTGCAAGGCAAATAAGTTAATCACTATAATTTTTACATTTCAAGCATGCCTTGCAAGCAATTATGACGCTTTTCTAAAATAATAATTCTGTCAAAATCTTATTAACATCCATGTTTTATCCTAATTTCTGTAGTGTTTCTCTATTGACCTTTTAATGTTTAAGAGTTACCATCCATGCTACCATTTTACATTTAATCACATTTTCTCAGACTTC